TGGACATTCACAAGGTCTCCATCACAGGCATGGCAGCTGTGCTCCCTATGTGGAAACAGCTGTACTACAGCTTGGATAAGACAAAGAAAAGCAAAAAAAAAACCCACCAAAAAACAGCACCCACGAAGAAGAGTACTGAAAGGAGAAACAAAGACACTGAGACCCTAAGGTGCTGGGATTAAACTGCCAGAGAAAACAAGCTCCCTCTTTGTCTATATTAATTAAGCCCCATGTTACTATCACCAGCATGGCTTTAGATTCAAGCTTTCAACTGCCAATGATTTATTCTGATCTAGGGAAATCAGCAAAATCTGTTTTCTGCAGCCAGAGTCATAAAATAATCTCACAACACATTCAGGAAAGTTCATCAAGGGCAGCAGTAGTTTTCCGGCTGTACACTTCTGTATTGTATTAGTGAGTGATGTTTAATGGTATAATGGTTTTGATTACGATATGTTGTTATGTTTTACTCCTGCTGCCACCATAGCCCAGAAGGAATTTGCATGTGAACACAATATTTCACCTTGTTTTTCTGTATAAATAATTGGGATATAATAAATTTAGTGAAAATCAAATATTAAAATAAACCAACTGCGCAATGATCACTGGGGATAACTACAAATTGTGCTTTTTGGTGGTTCCTGAATACTGGCGGACGTTGAGAGACATGTGCAACTGCTGTCATTGGTCCTTCACGCCTTGTTTTAGGAAAGTCTATTATGCTTCTGTGTCTGAATGCTACGGATAAACAGCTGTAAATCAACCTTCTCAAGACAGCATTTTCCTGGCAGTAATGGGTGCTGAGCAGGAGTCTGTACGGTGAGAATGTATATCAGGTGTCCAAAACACGCTCCGATGCACTGGAGGTGAAGTGAAGGACAATACCCTAATGTGTGACTTTGTCAGAGTGACATTGGCTTGTAGGGTTTTCAAGTTCTGTGACTGTTGCAGACCTCATGGTGCTCACCTGTAGTTTTTCCATCTCCCTCCTTGATTTTTGCAGTGTGCACTATTTAGGGCAACCTTTAAAGCACATTTAGAAAATTCAGATGATGAAGAAGTCAGCTACTCGCATTTTGTATGTTTTGTACAGTACAGACCGGAATAAACACGTAGCATGTTTGATCAGGTTTCTGCACCTGCTTCCTATCTGCTTTTATTATCTCAAATAATGAAATTTAACCTCAAATGATTAGAGTGCTGCTATTTCCGAGACTATATCCAACACCATGATCCAGTGGAGCAGCCACACACTCCTGCTTTACATACTGAGATCTGAAGATGATGTCAGCACTAGCAGTGTTTTCTCTGGGGTCTGTTTGTCCAAGACTCTTGGCATTCCTTTGGAATTATTGAAGTCCAGATCTCAAGATCTTCTCAAGACTTCTGTAGTATTTCTTTGATTTTTTTTTTTTTTTTTTTTTTTTTTACAGAAAAGGTGTCTACATCTTGTGTTAGTATTTATGACTAAGTGAAGACTATTGCTATTGCAACAGGTCTATTGCTACAGGAGTTCTGCAAAGTAATAAGCAAGTAGTCTGCAATCACCTCTTTCTAAACCCACCACATCCTCAAAGGTACCTACATTACCTACAGAGTTTCTCTTTTCCATACTTCCAATTTTAGAAATTGTCAGCAGAAATAGAGAAGCATAAAAGGAATTTATATTCATAGTGCACTAACAAAGCTTTCCAGCTTTTAGGATTCCTGCATGTAGGATTTTGTGAGTCTCTTGCTTTTGGGATTTTTGTCACATAATGCATCACACATTTGGGCACTTCGCAGATTCAGAACTGTGCCAACAATAATTTGTAAATGTTATCTATCTGTAGCATTAACACAGGCAAAGGGGAATGCTTATATTTGAAAGAATTTTTCTTTGAAAGATAACATTACAGCTTTTTAAAATTCATCTACTCATCATTTTCTGAGTTCTCAGGAAGAATTTCTTGCTTTTCTGAAGAATGAGGCTGGACTGGATTAAATTCTATCCTGTTTGACAAATAATTGCAATGACTGATATTGATTTTTCTCACTTCGCTGATTTTATTTAAACTGCCTGTTGGTTTAAACGCTCAGAGAAATTTTTAGAAAATAAATACTTTTCACATGCACAGTATTTTTCCCAAAATTTTATAGAATTATCAGAAAGACATGTATTTGCAATTTTGAAGGCTGTTTGCTAAATATCTTTAAAGTAGTTTTCCTCTTCTGAAAATGAAGTAATTCGATGGAGCAATTAATCTGACCAACTCAAAGTGCAACATATGTACTAGTGTTCTGGTAAATGGCAGTCAACTATCACTTCCTCTATAATCTTTGGCCAGATAATTTAACTAGTTTAAGGAGAAATGCTGCAAGAGAGAATGGCTGTTAGAACATGAAGGCACCTTTGCCCATCGCACGTTGCCAACTTCACCAGTAAAACCCAGCCGGCTGCTGAAGGTTTCAGCAAAACACCCTTCTCTACTGAGAGAAGAATTCACAAAGGGAGGCCACGAGATGAAGCTGTGTCTGTGTCTGCGTCTGCAAGTGTAGCTGCCTGTTAGATGATTCCCATGACTGTCTACGCTAACGGGCACCTTCGGGTAAAAAAAGGTGGTGTTACTAAAACCTCCACTCTGCTTTTCCTGGAACAGCCACTTCTGGCACTCAAAGCAGCTCTCTGCTTCCATTTTCATACACCTTCAGCCTGTAGCCAAGAGCAGCTCCCTGCAATTTATTAAATTAGCTCTTTAAAAGAAACTCTTAAATATACTCTTTCCAAGCAATGTTTTCCTAGTAAGTCTGGCCTGGTGTGCCAGGGCAGGGCAGGAGAGCACAGCTGAAAGAAGACAAGGATGGCTTGAGTGACAGGAGGTGCTATGCAATGGGAGTGGAGCAGAGCTGCCTTTGAGCTTTTTCTTTTTATATTCTCCCCTAAATGAAACAGTTCAGATGCTGCAGAAAGGTTTTTTTTCCCATGTCCTTTGTTTTTTTTTTTTTCTCTCCTGAACTTAGTATTGAGCGATGCATAATGGCAATTTCTGTAGGGGGAAAAAAAAATAAGAGTGGATGACACAAGCCGGAGGTCTGATATTAACCATTTCGGGGCAGTGCCAGTCACTGCTGAAATCACATCAGGTGAACGAATGACTTCTTTTCCCACTTGTAAGAGAAAGCCATCTGGGAGAGCAGCAGTCTACCAGAAACGACTAGAAGAAAACTGTACTCGACAGTGAAAAGACACACGCAATTCATCCTATTCCAGAGTAAGAAGCATTATTCCTTAAATTGCACAGAACCTAATTCTTAGGATGACATTTTTGTTTGTTCCCCTATTTTTTTTTCTTCAGAAGAGGTTGATATAGTATAGCTTTTGATATAAGATCAGCAAATCACTTCTCCTAGGTTATCAATGGCAAGCAGAAGGCAAGCACTGTCCACGAGTGACCTGGCACAAGCTGGCAGTCTGAAAGGAATGTGTATTGGTTCTCTATGAAGAGAAGCAACAGTTCCACAAAAGGAGATCACAGTTGATAAATAAGAGGAACAAACTTGGGATTAACAACCAATATTTTTTGTCAGTCAGACACTCCCAACAATGAGGCTATTGCACCCCTAGTTTTTTTTCATTTGCTTTTAATGCTATGACTTTTCTATCACTGTCAATTTAATTGGATACTTTTGTCACCACAGACTATTGTATTCAGTTACCATGAAAAAAATGAACATTTTAGCCTCTTAAACATAAAATTTAAAAAATTTAAATAAACAACTGAGTACAACATAATAGTGTCTTTCAATGTAATTCCTTCTGAATGGGAGAAGCCAGCTGCTGGGCAGGTACTAAACCCCTCCTGGGTTTTGTGTCTGGCAGCCTGCTTACAATGTGATACTAATCCTTCAATTCATACTTCACATATTAAAAACATGAGAAACGTGCTGCAGAAGCGACTGAAAGACCAATGCTGTAGCTAATAACCCACTAAATACTCCCCAAAGTCTTTTCTGCCACAACTTGGTCTCTCCAGTGTACTTGGACAGTGTAAGTTAAACATTTCTGTAACGCAGACACATGTAGCCTCAAACCTGGGAACATTCTCCTGGACAGTTAATCTCTGTCTGCAGTGAGCATTTCTTAAAGTGCTTACCACTGTGCGTAGTACAAGCATAGCCATGCCCTCGTTCTAGTTTAGATATGAAGACTAAAAAACTCGTTTTCTCTGCGTTAGTCCTCTCCCTACTGCTACTGCTGGCAAGAGTTCCCCTGGTTAGGATTTTTTTTAAACTTAGTGTGGAAAGATCTGTTAAAATACATAAAACAACCGCATCACTCTAAATATTTTGGATGGAAAGAAAGGATACAATCCATTACAGATTTTATATGTATTTCTCTATTAAAGTTCACAGCTTTTCTCATGATTGAGCTAATAGAAACTGCAGCTGTAAAGCAAGAAAGCCTGAATCTCAAAAGAAGCATTTAAAAAGTCACTAATCGAGTGGGAAACATCTCAAGAGTGAAGCCTAGACGGAGGCAGACAGACATACAGAGATTACAAACAGGTTGACCCTCTTAGAAGAGATGTCTCTGGCTGGCCTTCTGGAACAGAGGGAGCTGACTGACATTGCACTTACTTAGTCGCACTCCAAATAGACAAGGACTGGAACCACCATTTCTTCTCCATGGAGCTGCTAAAAAGCATTTAATTTGCAGGACCTTGCTGGAACTCCCAAACGTTATTTTACAAGAAAATTGGAGAATGCAGTTAATGTACTTACTAAATAAACCTGTGTCCTGCATCACGACCCACCCTTCTATGACTGAATCACTGGCATGTTTGAGACAAGTTCCTTATATAAACAGGTTAATATTTAAAATCTGCCCAGGCATTCTGGTTAGTGCTCCTTGCAATGCCGAATCAAACAATTCCCATTTGTGACTGATCTGAAGGACAGACCAGGGAGCACAGTGGAAAGCTAATAACGACAGGATACGAAAGAAGTGCTGACATACTTACAGTTGCATTTCTTCTGAACAAATCTAAGCTTGCATGCTGTTCGGTAGGTGGATAAACGAATGCGATCCAGATCTTGAGCCCCTAATGGAAGAGAATGACAGCGACATTGGTATGGAACACAACTCGCATGTATCTTTGCTAGCAGGGAAACCAGAGAACAAAGAGGACCCATGAGCTGACTCTATTTAATAATTTTCAAGGCTCTCTCCTTTGCAGGGAGAGTGGAGAGGGGTGAGGAGAAAGAAGGGGAATCCCAGGAGCTACAGTGTCAAAAGACTTTCATAAAGGAAGGGAAGGAATAGTCAGCCCACTGTGTCTGTCATTCTGAAGAAAATCTGGTCAAGCTGCAGGCTAAAAGACACACTGGCCAGGCTCCAACAGCAGGGAAAACCTTCATTTAATTTTAATATTTAGCAGCAAAGCTCATAGCAAATATCTTTGGCTGACATGCCATATCAGAACAAAGTATTGCCAGCAAACCAAATTAGAAACAATATCATGCCGTAACGAGAAGGCTGAGAGCAGCCTGGAGAAGCTGGCAAAACTAACGCACAGGCTGTATGGCCTTTCTCCATTTTGTGGAGGCACATTCTCTGCAACAGACACCTCAAAGGGTCAGCTCTCTGCTTCACACAGAGCTCGGCCCTGGCTGCTCCCACTCAAAGATGTGGCAGCGTTTCCCAAGCAGCTGTCCAGGAGATGGGTATAAACTGACCAGTCGCTACTTCACACGCAAGCACAGCAGAGAGGGACTGGGCTGGGGCAGAACCTGGTGCTGTGCACCACCTGTAACACGTCCCAAAACACCTCTAAAAGTCCATGAGGACATTCTGATTTAAATCCTTCTCCTTCTTGGCTGGTATGTCTAACGCACAGAAGTGTTGCCTCATAGCTACAATATGTCCTATGAAATACAAGACTGCTTATTAATTTTACCACACATTTCACGGAAACACATTAGATTAAATTTTTGCATATTTGCTTTTTTGTAGTGGTTGGCCCTTTAACAGGAGTAAAATCTGTTCTGTTCAGTTGAGCAAGGTACTAAGACAGAAAAAACAGAGTTTCTTCGGGAACTGTCCACATGAAACATATCCAAACAAGGAACAATCAGGCTGCAAGAGAAGTGGAGTGGAATATGGCCCTGTTCTGCTTTTACACATGCTTCCCAAATGTGTTCTTTAAGATTGATCTTGACGTTGTTAGCTTGGCCGCTCAGCATCACTGTTGTACATACAGCTGTGTCGGCATTGCTCACTCGCACTCTTAAACAATCTGCCACCCTTTGGACCCACATTTTTCAAATGTGCTCTGACCTGCGAGATGAAAAAGAGAGTGATACTCTCCCCTCTCCCCAGATGCTGATCTTTTCCTGACCGGATTCTCCCAAACCATCTTCCCGGGGCTCCCAGCTACTCCCTTTTGCCAGTCTGCTGTCTTAACATCATTTGTTCTTGGGAGAAGCTACCCTTAACTAGTTGAGGTCAGGTCTGGAAAGGGTTTTTTTTTCATCATGTGCTTTATTTATTAGAGAATGTTTTCTCTTCTCCATTAGTATCTCACTGACAGCTTTTGGAAAACTTTTTTACTAGTAAAAGGAAGGATAATGCTTGTAACACTAAGTCTTTCCTTTTTTAATAAGTTCAATGAGTAAAATGTATGTAACTTTTTCCCTCTTAACTTCAGTGAAAACTACTATTAAAAGTTGCCACTGCTCCTTTATAAAACTTCAGCCTTTTAACAAGATGTAAAGATTCAAAGCAAAGTAAGACTCTGGCTCATTGAGCTTCCTAGGTTGCAGCATTAATCCTGAATAAATAAATTTGTAGCCAATAATGTTGCTTTTTTTCTTTACTATTTACACACACAATGGATTGTATACTTCAACATTGTTTTGGGAGTAAGTGTTTTTGCTGATAAACCCCTGGAACAGACAATTTAATTTTATCATGATTCACATTTTGCCACCGTCAGAGATATATTTGTCAAATAACTTCTGTAAAAAAATGATTTCACTTACCTGGAGAGTCCTGAAAAGCAAGTGGAAAGATGTGAGGGACTGAGCACGGCAAATGAGAACTGTGAATTCGTAACCTGCCTACAGGACTGCCAGTGGCCTCTCCTCCCTTTTGCCCGTTGGCAGTGTTTCACTCTGTTTCCTTTGAATATGCTCATCTCGGGTAACACCATTTGCAGTTAGCAAAAATAATAAAGGGATAAATTGGAAGCTTCAGATGCTGTTTTCTTGTTGGATAATATGTGCTGGCAGCACAACAGTGATGTACATTTTGAATTCTCTTCATCAGTCTGAAGCATGCACCTGAGCATGCCAGGTAAAACTAAGGGTAGCCTAGTGATTTGACGTCCAATGGTGCATTCTGAGATATAAGACACAATTTAAGCTTTAACCACAGGACTCTACAGAAGATGAATTTGATCATGATACTAATTCATAGAAGTTTATATTTTGGAACTAGGAAGATGCCTCTCCTGAAGGAAAGGAAACAAAAAAGTAAAACTAAACTTCTTCAAATACAGGGAAAATCACATAGTGGCCTAAATCTAAAGTGAGAATCAAATCCATCTATTACTTGTTCAGAACAAATTTCCTACTTAAAAAGGCAGGAAAAGTCGGATTTATTTTTTTGTTTTTGCTGTCTTGTGTAGTCTGGAACATGACCCACCTTCTAAAAGTATTGTGGGGTTTTAATAACAAACTTGCAAATATGACTGCAAGAACCTAAACCACCGACAATGTCCTCTATATTATGAATTTTCTTCCTCTAACATCAGCAAGCTGTGGAGTTTAACTTTTTACCAGAAGCTTATGTTTGTTATAATGTTAACAAGCTTCACACGGCCCACAGTATGTAGGGCATGTGGAGCACATGGCTTTAGTCAAACACGGATTGTGTGGGCTTGCACACAGCTGAGGCCACCTGAATGCAAGGCCAGGTTGAGCTTCTGTTTCAGTGAAGGACACCCTTTACACACACAAGAATCCAAAGGACTCTCCAAACGCAAAATTCAGTGTTTTATGAATATGGACTTTTCCTTGCCTAAAACATATTTAGTTTTTCACAAAGACTTAATATTTTCCCCACTTTTTACCTAGTTAGAACCCAGTTCTCTGTGTACATGTGTAGGAGGAGGAAGGGAGGCAGGCAAACAGAAAAGGGAAGCACATACGAGATAAACCGGACTCAAGTAAGTATGTCAAAATACTAAAATGTGAAAGAAAAAATAGTAGGCAATAACTATTTGCATACAGTATGGGAAAACAGTCCCTCCTCTGCCTCCAACTACTGATTGTAAATTTTCCCAACGCCTCCTTAACTCCTCCAAAACAACCCAACAGCAAAACAGCCTTCAAAGCTGTTGGAACAAACCATAAATCTTCACAGCAAAGTCTTAAGCAATTACGTTCCATTTTAGGAATATTTCAAACTAACTGAAGTTAATGGAAGTTATGCTATCGACTTTAGCTGATATAAGCTCAAGTCCTTTCTATAATTCTAATTAAAAGTACAGTATGTTCTGATAATGGACAAATGCACCATCCTTTTTTCTTGTTCCTGGTTTTTTTTTTTTTTTTTCTTCTGGACAAAGAACAACCCCTGTCTCCACTGGTCCAAGATGTTGTACACAAGGGATGAGAGAAATATACATCTGAGCTACAACAGCAAGCCTCATGTGATATTGAAATAATTACAGGGCATAACAGAGCTAGTGGACACAGTGGAACGGGCCAACACCATCTCAGTAGGCCATCTGAATGAGAAATCCTTAATTTGGAGAGCTCAGGAGCGCAGATGAAGGGCATTCGGTCACCCCTGGAGAACAGTCCCAAGCATGTTTAATTCACCAGCACAAACCCGGCCTTTCAGTGTGCACAGCTGCTCCAGTCCCAGTAACGCTCATATCAGTCTTCCCCAGAAGATGGTGGAGATGTTCTGCCATTTTTTAGTATGTTGCAGGGGACAAATAATAGGAAGCTTAGTAATTACAGACAGAACTTAAGTAAGTCTTAGCAACAGGGTGACAGTCTCAAACTTTATACGTAATAGAATTTCCTTGAGAAATGGTGGATTGTAAGAGAAATAACTGTCAAGAGAACCGCAGGAACATTGTAAGTATAGTACATCCCTGACACAACAATCTTCAGGGAACACAAAGCTTCACTAGGAACTATGAAAAATGTGCTGAAGTGGGGTATGTAGTATATGAGTCCCTGTACTATGTCTGGCTAGGATGGAGCTAACTTCCTTTATAGCAGCACGCACGGTGCTGTGTTTCAGATTTGTGGCTGAAAAAGTGTTGATAACACACCGATGTTGTACCTATTGCTGAACAGTGCATGCACAGCATCCAGGCCTTTTTGACTCCTACTCTATCCCCTCCCAGAATCGGCTAGGGGTGGGCAAGAGGCTGGGAGGGGACTCAGCAAGGACAGATGACGCCACCTGGCTAAAAGGATAGTCCATGCCATATAATGTCATGCTCAGCAATAAAATTGTGGTAGGGGAGGAAGAGGGTGGGGAGTTCTGTCTTCCAAGGTGGACACTGCTCAGAGACTGGCTGGGCATCGGTCTGGAAGGTGGTGAGTGGCCACCTTTGCATCATTTGTTGTTGGTTTTGTTGTCACTTTTTTTCCTCTCTGTCACTTAACCAACTGTCTTCATCTCAAGTCACAAGTTTTCTTGCTTTTGCTCTATATTCTCTCCCATGCTGCTGGGGGCTGGTTGGAGATTAAGCAAGTGGCTGTGTGGGTGCTTAGCAGCTGGCTGGTGCGAACCCACTACAGATTCCCCCACCAAAGGATGTAGTCTTTTGGAGACCTTTATCCCTCTTCACTGCTACCTGTGCATTGCAGCATTTTTGTCCCAAGAAGCTAAGGACTAAAATAATTCAATCACAAAATCTGATGTAGAAAATCCCTCTCTCCTGCTATTTGGTCAAATCAGCCCATTTTCCTGTAGTTTTGGTCTCACGACATTAAACCATTTGTGAAATGGAGATATCAGTTACTTGAGGTGAAAAGCTTGCATAAATTTTACTGATGCTGCACTGCAACTGGCTTGGTTTATCACAGCGAAACATTTCTAGGAAGTACTTACGCATCTCTGCAAACAGCTGCCTTCTTTCTGCCATGGTATTTCCTCTTTTCCCACAATCTTCAATCATTCTGGAAGACAAAATCATGTGAAAATATTGAGTATTATTCCCAGACTGAACATACGTACATGAGCATCCATAATTGATCCTGGAGAACCTTTGAGGTTGACTGATGCTCCACGCGTACCCAATGCCTTTTGCCAGCCTCTCTGTGGCATGGTTTGCGGAGAAGCTGGTCCCACAATTGTCCTCCATTCCCTAGAATCTGCTTTCAAGCATTTGTTTTTCCCCTCTCTCTCTTTCCCAAAGGCAATGTTCAGTTTTTCTGCTTGATGTAACTAACCGACTTACGTAACACAAGCTCTGAAATTCATTTTAGGTTTTCTTAAATAAGGAATCTTCGGTTTAAATTATGTAAGAGAGAAGAAATCATACAAGATTCGGATATTATTTTGTAGTTTAGAAAATGCCTTTCTAGCCAATTCTGAATGGAGGAGACAAAAAAATAACACAACAGCAACTAATTCTATACTCCACAACAGAATATCCTCTATTTACTCTACCAAGTACACTCCAAATATTCATGCAAATTCACGACAGTACATCTCTGATTAAATGAGTTCCAGTAAAAGGCTCAGAAGTAAGAATATATTTTCCTTTAGTTTTCAGATATAAAAATTTTCATGGTATTTCGAAGCGAGCTACCGCTGGATAGAGCATAGAGAAAAGAGACAGGTTCCTTCACAGCCAGCATTCAAACCATAAAAGACTAAAGCCTTCAGAGTAAAGATAAACATCTTTACCACTTAAAAAATGAAACCAGTGTCAGCATCACCACTTCCTATGGGTAATTACTCTAGCAAACCAATATCCTTTCCTCCCTGCCAAGTCTGGTTAGGGCTTCTGACCTGCATTTTAATCTACATCCTTATCTCAACCAGACTGTGTAAAATAACACTGGACCACCTGGGATATAAAGGAGATGCTCTGCGGAGGCCTGCAATACAAAATACTCCACTTTATCCCATAGCAAACTCACATATGTACATAACAGGAAGGATGAAAGTACTGCATGCTGAAATCTACCACCACCAAAGGACTCAGGATAGAAAACCAGTTTCCTTTTTTCTTGGAGAAGAAAGGCAATCACATAAGAGGTGTTTTGTTATGTGGTGCTTTTTTCCTTCCAAAATGCACTGTTCGAATGAAGTGGTGGTACATTATAAGTGCCGTTTCCAAATAGCCTATTCAATTCTCAGAGTACTGATAAAGGCTCTGCTAAAATGCTATCTATGGCGGACATTTTGTGATGTGAGCAGCAGTCCCACTAGGAAGTGGGCAGAGTGTATGGCTGCAGCCTGTTTGTAGGGATATTCAAGCTCACCCTTATGCTCTAATTTGGCCTGGAGTGATACAGGTGTGTGTAGCATGGCATTAAATCTGAGCTAACATATCCTGCCTTTCCGCAGAGATAACAGCTTTCAGCATTGTGCTTTACAGAAGCGGCCACACAGCCTCTGATCTGGAGGTACTTGGTGTTTTGCCAGCTTAGAGGTGTCAAGGAGGACTCACACCTACCTGCAAAACGAGATATACCTCAAGATACGCCAGACCCAACCTACATCCTAATTAGTCTGCAAGTCGTAATATCCTTCGTACTTGGATTAGCCTTAATTCTCTGCCCATAAAATATGAAAAACGATGTAATCCCACTAATCCCAGTTTGAGTTCCTCTCTCCTTCCTGTTTCTAATCAAACTCGCAGTAGAAGACAGATTTGTCATGGCAAATGACCAGATGTCGTAGGACAGGTGGGTTAATAAAGTCCTTTGAAAAGATAGCATAGCATCTTTTACCAGGCAGAGCAGTTGAGTGAATACTTCAGAGCAAATACAATTTTAGATTAACATTTATTATTGTGGGCCACAGGCCATCGTAATTGTCTCTGACTTCTCCTGTATTCAGAACTATTCTACAAACAATACGCAACTGGTTTTCAGACTACATACTGTTCATACTAACTAACTGAGATTGGGTTATTTTGATTTTGGCACGAGGATTATATAATTTTCTTTCACTTTTGTGATACAATTTACACTTAAATCTTACAGATTTTTCTCCATTTAGTAATTTGCTGTTTTCATTTCATCAATGCTCTTTAACATTTGTGAAATAATCACTGGTCTCACAGTGATCGCTGCAAACTTTGTCGAAAACAAAAGGGGTGAAACTTGGATAACTGGATAATAAAAACCTCCCTTGGATAACTGCCAATAACTGTTTTCATCCAACTGCCTCTTGGATTAAAATATTTCTTAGCTATTGCTTTTAAATATCTACAGCACATCCACGGGAACATGGCTCACCTGTGACCTTATTCACCACGCAGGAGACTTTTCCCGGTCAAAATTAAGGAAAAAAAAGTATTTTTCAAATAATGCAAATTGTACAACAAGTTCTCTGAGTCCTTCAGAGAGCCCATTCCTAAAGTGTCTTTTCCATGGGGTAAAAATCATTAACTTGTTTTCCCTTTTGTGCAATTCATTCTCTCCTTATTTTTATCTCCTTAAATAAAATGTTCCCTGGACCTGACCATCATTTTTCACAATGTCCCATTATCTACTGAAACTGAATCACCTTTTTCACTGCTGGGCCTTATGGGGATTACCAGGCCTGACAAATAACTTTATATTTATACACAGGCAAATCAGGCTTCCTTGGAGAGGGAAGAAACTTTGCATTTATATTTTTAAGACTCACTGCACTGGATATTTTGCAGATTTTAAAATACCCTTCATCCCAAATGACAATCCTAAAATCCTCTGCAATGGGATATATGGCATTAAGCTAATGAGAACATTAGTGGTGGCAGTATTTTCAGACAGATATCTTCTATCCCTCCTTTACATCTTCTCCTGATAGAAGAAAAATTGTAGATGATGCTCATCAATATTGTTATTTTTGGATCACCATTGATAGGAATTCACTGAACTGTGTCTTCCAAGCCTTTCGTATGCATTTTTAACTCTAGAATGTGCAAGAGCCCAGGTTCAACTAACGCCATTGGTCATGAGTGTTGGGCATCTCCCTTTTCAGCCTCGTTCACCTTGATCCAGCTCACAGGTACACAGCTCAGATCTTTAACTCAGAGTACAGAGACTCACGCTTTGAGCCCGAAATGCGCTCGGCTCAGTCCCTGGGGCTGGCCATGAACATAATGGACTACAGTCATGTTCCAGTATCTCTCATTTTGCTTATAACACATGTCAAGTCACAGAAAAAAAAGTACAATTTGTTCAACAGGGGAAAAGAGCAAATCACAAAGTGAACTTTAACATACTTTACAAAACAGAATAAATTATCAGAGACGTAATTTTGAAAAATGTTAATTAATGTACACTCTTCCCATAGTAGGGATTATATTATATTTGTCTTCTATTGATTCCTTCCACTACCTTTTTCCCTTCACTTTTCTCCCCAGGAAATAGTAGGGAGAACACCTACTGTGCATCTAATTAAAATTCTTGTCACGAGCTAATTAGTAAGGTACCAATTAGCAAGGTATTAAGGCTTCAATATATTATAGACATTTCAGAGCAGAAATCATTCCAAGTATAAGGTTTCCAGCCTCAGAAAAAACATGGATGTTTCATTTCTACCAGTGTTACAAGCTGAAAACTTTCATGACATTAGTAGCACTTGAAAGGAAAACAATAAAGAAATAATTTACTTTGATTTGAATTATTTTGATTACAATTTCATTTTCATGCTTATCATGTATCAGAAGCATAGTTGGTCCTTTTTTTTAATACTTTATTTGTTTATAATACGTGGGAAGGAATATCATATATTACATCATATCACCTATTATACATGAGAACTAAATGCCTCATTTTTATTTCCTTTGCTGTTGTGCTGCTTTGACTTATGAGTACTGTAATAATCTCTCTCACACATAAGTGTTCTTCTTGGTTTAGTATTTATACGGTAAATACCGTATTTTATTAACCCTTGTTTTAAGTCATCCTTCTTGTAATTAGTATATTTCCATTTCTTGAGCTATCTTTATCGATGGTAAAAGCAATGCCTGCCACAATTAAACCATTAGCTCAAAAAAAACATCAAAAGAAGTAATTGCCTGTATACCTGGAGAAGGAGCTCCCCTCTGGAGAGTTCCATACGCTTCCCAGAAGACTGTCAAAAATTCCTGACCTGACACACACGTGCACACACAGTTTGATAGCTCTGAGAAAAGCCACTCCATTAACACTTCCCCAAATCCCCATCCCGTTCATCTGTGACGGATGAAGTGCCCCAGGGAGGTGGGAAGCAAGCCAGTGAGGAAAATCATCTGCTGAAATTGATTAATTGTGGCATGAAAAATTTATCAAGTCCCATGTGACGGCTGTGACGCAGCCGTGCGTTTGACAACGGAGGCTCCAAATCCTGATCGGTGACATTCCTGACAGTCTTTAAGGCCGGATAAAAGTTGGTTTTTCCATCGCAACAGGCACAGAAGATAAAAAGGAACACTCATCTCTACCTGAGCCTCTTCCAGTCATGCTCGCTACGGCTCTGAAGCGCTTGGGAGTGTTCTGGGATGCAACTCCTAGCTGGAGGTTTTGCTCCAGAAGACTAGCAAAACCAACAGTGAGTATCTCTTTTGGAAAAAGTACCATCATTAGGTAGAAAATACCAATCAGGCTCAAGCATCCTTTATTGAGAGCAGTCTGTATTTCCCTAGCAAGGAAATCTTCAACTTCTGATATAAACAGCTACTTTTCTTCTTCCATGAAATGTCAAATATTAGACACCTGCTTTGGTATCTCTGGGAATTGGAAGCATTAGGATGTAGAGAAATGTGCTGGTTTCTCAGTGGCTATTTTTCATGCCATCGGCAAATCAGATGCTATTGTCTAAGCAGCTGGTCAATATTTAAACCAGCTTTGAGTAGACAACAGTAACATTTTTCAGCTGCACAGGCTTCCTGTCTGCCATTGCTTAGGACAGTTTCATCAAAATGCCCTCCATACATAACAAACTGCTATTCCTTTTCAGGATTTACCAGCATCAGAAATTTTGATTTAT